GGGATGCCAACCAGCAGATGGAAGATTCTCTCTCTCTCTCTCTCTCTCTCTCTCTCTCTGTGTGTCTCCTAATCTCTCTCTCTGTAACCCTGACTTTCAAATAAATAAATAAATCTTAAAAAAAATGAACTAGTTAACTTCCTTGCTTCAGGCTGATTCCAATCATGTAATTATGAAGTATTGTCCTGTTTTCCTTACAAATCTCTCATTCTATATCATAATTAGTGTCTTTAGCTTTTACAAATTAAATAAATGGCCTTTCTACCTGGGTTTTTTAAAAAGCAATATGATCATCTGCTTCTGAGAAAGATGCTATCTCTTCCTTGGAATACTGAAGTTTTATGTTCTTTTTTCCCCTAATATAGTGATATCACACTTCAGCTGATATACGAAGTATTTATTTTCTTTTCTTTCTTTTAAAAAGATTTGTTTATTTATTTGAAAGGCAATTACAGAGAGAAAGAGGAAGAGAGACGGGGTGGGGCAGTCTTCCATCTGCTGGTTTACTCCCCATTTGACTGTAATGGCCGAAGCTGTGCCGATCTGAAGCCAGGATCCTGGAGTTTCTTCCACGTCTTCTACATGAGTGCAGGGGCTCAAGGACTTGGGCCATCTTGTACTGTTTTCCTAGGCCAGAGCAGAGAGCTGGATCAGAAGTGCAGCAGGCAGGACCTGAACCGGTGTCCATATGTGATGCTGGCACTGCAAGCGGCAGCTTTACCAGCTACACCACAGTGCCGGCCCTTATACAAAGTATTTATTTATTTATTTATTTGGACAGGCAGAGTTAGACAGTGAGAGAAAAAGAGAGACAGAGAGAAAGGTCTTCCTTCCATTGGTTCACCCCCCAAATGGCCGCTACTGCTGGCACGCTGCGCCGATCTGAAGCCAGGAGCCAGGTGCTTCCTCCTGGTCTCCCATGCGGGTGCAGGGCCCAAGAACTTGGGCCATCCTCCACTGCCTTCCCGGGCCACAGCAAAGAGCTGGACTGGAAGAGAAGCAACCGGGACAGAATCCGGCGCCCCAACTGGGACTAGAACCCAGGGTGCCAGCGCTGTAGGCGGAGGATTAGTCAAGTGAGCCAAGGCACCAGCCATACACGAAGTATTTAAAAGCTAAAGATACACAGAACTATAAAGATAGCAAAAAATAAAATACAAACACAAAACCATGATGTGTGTCTTTAAAGAATACTATTATTATAGGTTGAAAAATACTAATACCAAATGACTTGACAAAAACATACAACTTTTGGTTTCCAAATATTTGGTCTTAAGGTTGTGTTTACAGACTGTCCAGATACTTTGTGTGCTCACAAGTGTCTATAAGCCAGAATTACATTAATACACATACCACACACACACACACACACACACATTACTTTGGATGTAGTAAACTGTTATTATTAAAATTTTAGGAAGGTTTTATCCAGGATCTACAAATCCTTGCATTTGAAATCTGCTCCAATGTATTTGATAACTTGTGAGTATTAACAATGTGCTAAAACAAAGCACTCAAGAATTTTAATTTTTTAAACTTCAGTATGTGTAAAAATCACCTAAGAAGGTTGCTAAATGCAGACTTCCAAAGTACAGCTCAGGAGAGTCTGTGTCTGAAGTCTTACACTGGGATAAACAATTCTGACTCGGGTAAGCTCCCCAGGTGTATTCTAATGAAAATGATCTTTATACCCACATTCCTCTTCTAGGAATACTGGTGGGTAATTTAGTCGGTTTCCAAGTACAAGATGATTCATGTCCTTTTATTCCAAACACCAAAGTATGGTGTCTGAAGACTCTGTTGACCTTTTCCTGACAACATAATAACTCATTTAATGAACACAAACTTTAGGTTGTAGTAGCTCATATTGAGTTAATGTATATCTTTTTAAAAGTACACTAAAATGTACAGAATGATTTCTAACATTTCCTAGTGCTTTAATTTATAAATCACTTCAATATATATGTTTTCTATTTTTACATCATCTCAATGGGGCTGATGCAATAATTGAAGACAAATGAATTCTGAGTCTTCCAGTAGGGCACCAGACCCTTGGAGAACTACCAGTAACAGAACAGTTTTCAGGCCACCTGATGGCCCCTTTTGAACACCTAGGTAATATTTTTTTTTTTTACAATTCCCTCATAAAAGGCATTCACCTTTAAAAAGTAAGTTTATCGTGCCAGACTGGGATTTATACATTGTGATTTGTGCAACAGAAGGTGTTTGGAAAACCTGCTGCCTCTGTTGTGAGAGTTAAGGCATCAGTTGAGAATGGGTGATCAAAAAGCCCAGATATTTTAGTTAAAGCTTCCTACTCAGGGGTACACAGCCTGTTCACATTGTCAGAAGCTGCTATGATCCTTCAATCCAAACACAACCCATTTTTTATCTGTTCAAAGCATAAAGTATTTTTCTTTTTTTAAAATTTATTTGACAGAGTTAGTGAGAAAGAGAAAGGTCTTCCTTCCGTTGGTTCACCCCCGAAATGGCCACTACAGCTGGCACACTGCGCCAATCTGAAGCCAGGAGCCAGGTGCTTCTCCTGGTCTCCCATGCAGGTGCAGGGCCCAAGCACTTGGGCCATCCTCCACTGCACTCCCTGGCCACAGCAGAGAGCTGGCCTGGAAGAGAAGCAACCAGGACAGAACCCAGCATCTGTATGGGATGCCGGTGCTGCAGGCAGAGGATTAACCAAGTGAGCCATGGCGCTGGCCCCAGCATACCGTTTTTTTCTTCATTGCAGTTATCACAATTGAAATAATGTATTTTTTGTAATTAATTATTGCATGTCTGTATTCCTAGAAAAACTATCAGTTCCTCAAAGGCAGGGATTGTGTTTTGTTAACTGCTGTTAAGAACCCAGCCCTGTGACCTGTCATAGAGAGGCACTTAATGCATATTTGTTGAATGAATGAAGGAAGGATATGAAAGTATTTGATGGGAAGGGTCTCAGTGTACTAGATGCACAATCATCAAAGTGTACTGCAAAACATTTTGTTCTATGAAGGTAGTCAGGTACACTAAGAATAATTTTGAAAAAGCAAGATATTTAGAATTCTCACATAACTAACTATACTGTAAATGTTAAGAGTTTGAGATGGCAAAGTTAACTGAAAAATGATGACTAAGGAACATTAGAAGAATAAAATAAAAGTACAGTTTAACTGTCTTATGATCTTTATTTGTCTTATAGATAGCAGTGTACACTCATACTTTTGACATTTGGCCTGAAATGGGATTAGGGAATATGGGTGGTGGGTTGGAGGGGTCAATATGTTCATATTGGCAATAGTTTTAGGTAGAATCAGAAATAAACATTACTCTCAAGTCTATAGAATCAAATATTTGGTTCTTTCTAAAAGGTATCGTCTTAGTCTTAGCGTTACCTCAAATAGTTGATTTAAAGAGTATTGTATATTCACTTATACAAAGTGAAACCTGAGTGAAAAAGACTAATATCTCACAATATGTCCACAAAAGCTAATGTTAATGCCAAAACCAAGTGCAACTTGAAGATGTACATGAGAAAGTAAGTCAATACCATGAAAATGATATGCCTTATGATGTCATATGACTGAGGTATTGTGGATTGAAACTCAATCAGATAAGAAAGGAAGTGGCTTAACTCTCTTGTTGAAGTTGGCTCTACTCTTCTCAGGGCTATGCTAGAAAAGTAGAGGTTAGGGGACAACTTTGGGTTTGGGATATACCCTATTATTTTCAATTAAGGACTTCTGTTTGTTTTACTGACAAGCTCCTTCTCCTGACTAGTTCATTTGTTTGGATGATCAAGGAAGGGTCTGCTGGTACTCAGTTAGTAAGCTAAATCTGATAGCATTATCATAGAACACTAGGAATCTGCCAGCTTTTTCGAAAGCTTCTGGCACTGACTGCAACAGTTCCATTTACTCAAAAATCTGTGTTGCAAGTTTTAAGACCTCTAATATTAAGTATGTGATGCAACCTGAATAAATGGTTTTCAACACATTTTTATCTACATTCCAGAATTTGGTGAGTTAAGGGGGCAGAATTTGGAGAATTTAGTGTCTTTGATATTATGAACTTTGAAAAGTGGTTTAACTTCTCTGTGCACGACACCCCTGAATTGTAAAATGGTATGGCACTAGTGTTGTTATAGGGATTAATATGAGTTAATTATATAAATTTCTTTCAAGACAGTGTACCTCCAATAAAAACTATATAAATGAGAGTTCTTATTATTCTGTGTTAGGTGTGTATGTATTCATATATTATGGACCACAGAAATAAGAAGTTGAATTAAATATAAACTACAATTTTAGAATATGTTTTTCTAAGATTTGATTTCTTTTTAGTAGAGAAAGAAAATCAACTTTTAATTTGTTTATTAACTCACTTTTTCTCATTTCAGTTGTATTATCTATTTCCCTGCCCAGATTTTCTGTTTTGGACAAGTCTCCACCTTAAATTTATCAAATTTAAATGATGCCACATATCACAAAAGTCTTTCTCATTCTCATACCTCATGATATATTCTGAGCATTTTGATTATACATTAAAAAACCTATAGTTAAATATGGATGGCTTGACAATTTCTATCAATTTGTAATATACCCTATATTATAGGTGGAGAACTTGATCTGAAACATAAAGAGTTCTAGAATTATAAACAATGTCTGGAGTCATTGTCTAAATATGTTTCTAGTCCATTGTCATCTAAATATTTTTGAAGTGATTTTTATGCTCTCTTCATTGATTTTACTTTTTTATATATATGAACCAAAAATATTTTCAACATAAAGCAAGACTTTGGGTCTATATGAATTGAAAGTAGAACTTGAATCACACTGTGTTCAATCTAATTAAGGTTACATACACATTGGTTTTTTAAACTTGAGTAACATCTCATGTGAAATTTCCAAATATGCATTGTTCTTTTTCATTTACAGGGATTGATGCTCTTAGATTTGGATAAAAATGTGTCAGATCACTCTTCTTTTTTTATTTTTTCTTCACAGTTTATTGCTTTTGCTTCTTTATTCTTCATCCTGGTTTCAATCACAACCTTTTGCCTGGAGACACATGAAGCTTTCAATATTGTTAAGAACAAGACAGAACCAGTCATCAATGGCTCAAATGTCATTCTACAGTATGAAATTGAAACGGATCCTGCCTTGACATACATAGAAGGAGTATGTGTGGTGTGGTTCACTTTTGAATTTTTAGTCCGTATTGTTTTTTCACCCAATAAACTTGAATTCATCAAAAATCTTTTGAATATCATTGACTTTGTGGCCATCCTACCATTCTACTTAGAGGTGGGACTCAGTGGGCTGTCATCCAAAGCTGCTAAAGATGTGCTTGGCTTCCTCAGGGTTGTAAGGTTTGTGAGAATCCTGAGAATCTTCAAGCTCACTCGTCATTTTGTAGGTCTGAGGGTGCTCGGACACACTCTGCGAGCTAGTACTAATGAATTTTTGCTGCTGATAATCTTCTTGGCCCTAGGAGTTTTGATATTTGCTACTATGATCTACTATGCTGAGAGAGTAGGAGCTCAACCTAATGACCCTTCAGCTAGTGAGCACACGCAATTCAAAAACATTCCCATTGGGTTCTGGTGGGCTGTGGTCACCATGACTACCCTGGGATATGGGGATATGTATCCCCAAACATGGTCAGGGATGCTGGTGGGAGCCCTATGTGCTCTGGCTGGAGTACTGACAATAGCCATGCCGGTGCCTGTCATTGTCAACAATTTTGGAATGTACTACTCCTTGGCAATGGCGAAGCAGAAACTACCAAGGAAAAGAAAGAAGCACATCCCTCCTGCTCCTCAGGCAAGCTCACCTACTTTTTGCAAGACAGAATTAAACATGGCCTGCAATAGCACACAGGGTGACACATGTCTGGGCAAAGACAATCGACTTCTGGAACATAACAGATCAGGTAAGGCACAATTTCAAATGCATGTTGTTAAATACTTTATAGACCAGTATGTCCCTTAGGCAGAAGGCAGTCATTTTCATTTTCAGCAAATGTTCATGAGTTTTCGTTCCTATCCCTTCATAAAATATGTACTTATGTCAGGCTTATAGATAGCTAGACTAGTTTTTTTTTTTTTTTTAAACAAACCCCAAATAGAGGTCTGCATAGCTGGTCTATAGAGTTTTCCTGCTTTAGTGGGAATGCCTTTTGCTGATGGTGCCAATATTTTCTTTTGCCTGTTTGTTACTTTTGTGCCAATGTTTCTTTGTTTCCTTGCACGATGTGATGGTATAATAATGGTCGTTTTCCATCCTTCACCCTCAAAATGTTGATCTCCATATTGTTTGGGTTGGTGTGTTTGTCTCAGTTTCACCTCTGCCACATGGTGCCATGCATCTCAACCTAATTCACAAGAAACAGTTATTTAAAAAGAATGGATGCTTACGTTTCCAAGGCCTGAACACCAAAGAGGTGATATGGAAGATAATAATTTTAATAACAAAGCTCTTCCCTAGTAACCTTCTAGGGCATTGATTATATTCTTCATTGTTCTTAAATTAGTTAGGTGTCTCAATATAACCGCTTAGGTGAAACCAGATGGCCATAATAAAAACAAACCAACATTAATCAAAGGATAGATGATCTGCTTTTGCCAAAGTTGAATTTCTCTGCATGTTCCCCTTTCTGTACATTATTCATTGAGCTCTGTCTTATTACAGAGAATAGAATTTTGGATAAATTACTGCTTGAGATTCATTGAACCCCTGCTCCCTTCCATTGTCATAGGATTGACTATAAATTGGTATTCAGTTTGCCAAATGATAGTAGAGTCATCTCTAGTCTATTATGTTTGATACAGGTGAAATATTTTATTCAATTTAACTGGCTTACATTCTACTATGAAAATTTAAGGTATATATAGTTCCTGTAGCTTATATATCTTTCATCTTTCTCTTGTAGAACAATGATTTATGATGAGATCATGTGAATAATTCTGAGTTGTTTAGAAATGACATTAATTAGCAAAGTAAGCAAGCAAACAACAAAAGAAAGTGAAATTTTCAGAGTTTCCCTCTTAGCTTTCAGAAACTTTTAGGAGGTAAATGGAAAAAAAGATACTATTAGAATTAGCTGCTGTTTAAAATTTGCTTTTCCAGTCCTTATGTTCATAGTAAATTGCTCTGCAAATTCTGTCAATAGACAAGGGAACTTTTAAAAGTTCATGAAAAATGAAATTGAAAGTTTGTTTTGATTCAAAAAATTAAAATCCATGCATAATTTTTTTCATAACACATTTTCTATGAACCTTTTGAAGACAGCTGGTATATCTGAAAACGGTTAAGAATATATTTAGGAAAGGTGGACTTTCATCAGACTTCTAAGATTATCTGTGCAGAGCCCTGAAGAAGGACATGGAAAAGGAGGACACTCTGATCTTGGGTAAAAACTGTAATGACAAGCTGGTTTCTAGGCTGAAAGGAAGTGAAGGTCTTTGGCAAGCCTACAGAAGTAAACAAATAGTTATTCCAAGGGCATTTGGAGAAGTTGATCTTGTTCCATTGTATGCTCAAAAGTATTTTACCAGTAAAAGTGGAGTACATGGACAAACATTTGTGTGCTTTGCTGTTATCTTCATAAAATTTTTAGGAAAAATAGTACTTCAGAAAATAACAGAAGTGTGTCTCTTAAAGACCTGCAAAAATACATTTGATTTATCTTTTCCTTAGAAAGTTTCCACTTCTAAAGACTTCTAGTCACAATAACTAAAACTATGTAAACATTATAATATAGAATTTATGTGCTGCTTCAGTATCATAATTATTTTGTGTTCATCTCATTTCTGTGAAAGCCAGTTTCTTAAAAGACAAAAAAGGCCATACAGGAATTAAAAATTCTGAAAGAACATTCCCTTTCCAATACATTTCCATTATGCATCAATACATCAAGTTTTGTGATGAGTGATGAGAATTCTTTTTCTTATTGTGATTATTGTGTTTTGTATATTGAGTGATTGGACTACGGCATCGGTGTAAACTCTTTGTACTGTCTCATTTCCGCGTCCATTACTGTCTGTCAATGGGCATGGTGCTGTGACCAGTGTTATCAGGTGACGACAGTACAGGAAGTGAGCCGCCATTATCACCCCCAGAAAGGCTCCCCATCAGACGCTCTAGTACCAGAGACAAAAACAGAAGAGGGGAAACATGTTTCCTACTGACGACAGGTGATTACACGTGTGCTTCTGATGGAGGGATCAGGAAAGGTAGGCATACATTTAACCGGAACTTAACAGGTGACTTAGCAATTAAGTGTTTGAAATACATGGAGTGCTGTACAATGTTTGTTCATCATTTTCTAGAAAAGCCTGCGTATAGTGCTCTTTTCCTCTCTCCATCACATCTTTCATTATAAATATTTAAGAATACATATCATAACAGTGTACTTTATTGTCATTTCTTAAATGAGTTACATCCTTCTTTCTTTTTTATTTGTCATTTGTCTATGGACAGAACTGTAATGGAATACATAAATATTTATCACTCATTCAATTATTTTAGCATATATTTGGCAGTCTTTAAAAATTATCTTTTTTACTGCAACAAATAAAACTCAGTGGGTGGCTCTATGCATATATTTGATGATTAATTAATGATATAGAACAATTATTTTTTTTCAAAATAAGGCATTAAACATTCTAATTGTCTATATTTCCTATACTTAGGCAGTTTTTTTCCAGTGGTTTATTTGAGTATTACAAGGTTGTGAATGTACAAGATTTTCAGCTACATTGAACAGTATATTTAATAACTTAAAATACTATTTATGTATTTACAAAATGCACTTCTGGAAGTTATTTTCAAGACCAATGAAAATAATTTTGTTTACTGCCATTTTTCAACAGACACTGCATAGAGCTAGACACATAGAAGATTTTAAGATGTGTTAAATACATGTTGAGTGAATGAAAATTGAAGGCCAGGTGTCTTTGTTAAGGAAGAAAACAAAATGTTATAGCTCTACTTCATTACCTGGTTCCTTTTCCTTCAATTGTACTAATATCTGTAAGGATTCCTTGTTGGTTTTCCTTTTTTGGCAAACTCTACAGACATAAAGACAATTGGAGTTATTTATCTTGTCTTTAAGAATGGTTTTGTGATCATTATAACCCACTTTTCTAAAAAAAAAAATACTGATCCATTCTTTCCTTATCTCCATCTTCCATAACTTCAGTTTCTTTATTGCCTTATGTATCTCCTTTATTCCCCGAATATAAAAGAACTATAATGATTTATTATATTAATTGGCCAAGTTTGAATGAGAAGACTCTCCTGAACTTTGGCATTGATTCAATTGCATTTTAAAACCACCATGCTTATTTGTTATTCATTACAGTTCCTACCCATTTAATTCTTTATCATTTTACTCCAAAAATGAAACATTTCATTACACATGCTGTACATTTCTTTCAATTTTTCTAATCACTTTATATTGTTCTGGGCTTCTATGCCTTTGAAACTCAAAAGAGAAGGCAAGAGAATCTTCAGTGAGCAATATTTTGAATACTTCTGCATTCCAGTTCTTTTCACTGTCAGCATTTGTTGATTGTACTAATGTGATTCAATTATCTGAAATAATTTTATTGTTTACTGTTTTATATTTACACATATACATATGCACTAGAAAAAATTTAAAGATTTTATGAAGATAGTGAATACTCTATTACAGTATTTGAGAAAAATATATGTACAAATACACACATTAAATCATAACAATAACACCTAATAATACCTTATGTAGAACATACTTTCTAATTGCATTGTATATTTTACCTTACTATATACACATATATATGTATATGTGCTTACATTTAAATATGTTTTGAGCATCATCCAATAAAGTATCACTTGTAATATTTATTGCAAAATTGTATGACTAAGGTACTTATTAGAATATTTTTCTTCTGTTATGCAATATTTTGAATTTTAAACTGTCAAAGGAAATCATGGATGAGGAAAGGCTTTTCAAATTATAAGTCATTGTGTAAATATAAAGGTTTATTCTAAAATTGCAGTTGTATAAGCAAAGTAATTAATAAGATATTTAGTGTTCACAAAAGTTATATATTTATTATTATTTCACAAATATAAATTCTCTTCATCAATGGAAACATCTTTGAAAACCTATCCATGAGCTTTTAATTCTTTGTCATTTCTCACAGAATCAACTCTTTTTAATTCTTGCTTTATTCATTAGTAGATATGTGTTTTCTTCTCTGGTAATATTTCTAGATAAACTTGTTTAATCTCTTTAGTGTGTCATCTTGTCTAGCTAGAATTCATTCACTTCTCCTGTTTCCTTTTATGTTGGTTAAAGGTTTTTCTCTTTTTACTTCTAGTTTGACATCTATTTTTCCATATGATCCTTTCATTTACCTTTCACATTGATTTCTCTAATGACTTCATTTTAGAGTTCTAAATATACTCCCTACCATAGTCATATAAATGTAAAGAAATTACTAGATTCCCATTCAATGGTTAGTTATTAGCTAAAAATAAGAATTTGATTGGACATACATGAAGGAAATGTAAGGGTTCCCTAAGAGAGTGAACTCCCAATACTTAGAAGTAATGTTTTTATTTGTACAGTAGATTTTTTTTTAAGATTTTTATTTACTTATTTGAGAGGTAGAGTTACAGACGGTGAGAGAGAGACACACAGAGAGGATTTGTAGAGTAGTTTTTTTTTTTTTTTAAGATTTATTTATTTATTTATTTGAAAGAGTTACACAGAGAGAGAAGGAGAGGCAGAGAGAGAGAAAGAGGTCTTCCATCCACTGGTTCACTTCCCAGTTGGCGGCAACGACCGGAGCTGTGCTGATTCAAAGCCATTAGCCAGGAGCTTCTTCTAGGTCTCCCATACTGGTGCAGAGGTCCAAGGACTTGGACCATTTTGCACTGCTTTCCCATCCCATAGCTGGATGGGAAGTGGAGCAGCTGTGTTCTAACCGTTGCGAGTATGGGATGCCGGCACTGCAGGTGGTGGCTTTACCCACTATGCCATAGCACTGGCCCCTGTATGGTAGTTTTAAGGAGACTATATGACAAAACTTAAATATACCTATGGGTAGATCATGGACAGTCAGCTTCAATATTGTCTCAAATAAGTACATGTTCTTAAGTACTGAATAAAATTCATGTTATATATTTAAATGTTGGTTCAAATTAAGTTCAGTATTGCTTATGCTAATGAAAGATATTTCTAGCCACTCCAGTAAAGCTTGATTAAGCAAAACATTGTGTCAAAACCTTTAGGTAGAAGTGAACATTTAAAATAAAAAATAAAGATATATGAATAACATATAATTTTACTAATTAAATACTTCTTGCTGAATTAGTAAGTTTTCTTAGATCAATACTGAAATTACTACCATTAAAAATAAAAGGACCTATAAACAGAATGGACAATTTTTATATTAACTATTATCTAGATAAATAACTAACATGTATGACTCTAATCAAGAATTATATGTTGCTGATAGAATTATTATAAAGCTGTCAAATAGATATTTAGCTTCCTGGAAATCCTATATTGAGATTGGAGGTTGTGGGGGACAAAGTTATAAATTGGTGGAGCAATGATTTGTAGGTATTAACAACCCTTTTGGTTCATGCATATTCACCAGTTTCCCTTTAATCAAAGTCAATCAATGTTTAAAGTCTAATTTACATTTTCATGTTACACAGTCAACTTCTACTGCTTAGAACAAATTACTGTTTGTACAATTCCTTAAGGTGTTATTTCAGACACTTTACAGAGGAGCAGCAATAACGAACCCTCCAGGCACATTAAAGTCCTTAAGAAATGATAAATTACTTGCAATTTAAAAAAATTATTTAAGACATCCCCCTGTTATCTATTGCATCATCTATCGGTACAGAATGAAATATATATCACAGCCATCTTTCGTACTTCACAAAACTAACAAAACATTGGGAAATATATCTTTTTTAAGATAATTCTTTAATTAGCATAAATTATATTCTAAAGAACTTTATCATAGTTTTATTAACTATGGCGTAAGTTTTCATTTGTTAAAGAAGACTTCCAGTTTTCTGAAAATTTTTATATGAAAGGAGGAGGTGTTACTTATTCCTCTTCCCTTTCCAGTCTAGTTTTACTCTGAAATAGAGCTATTTTGCAATGCATATCCATAACTGCCTTGGCCTCTCATAAATCAAATAATTAGATAAGTCAATTTTCCACTTCAGTGAAAGGAGAAGAAATAGCAATAGCTTCTTCCCTGGAAGTTCTAAGAAAAGATAGATTTAAAGAAGTGGCTCGGAGGAACATGAAGTAAAAGAGAAGACCCATTTCTTCCTTCCTCAATTATTAAATACAATTCTGGCCCAAGGATTATATACACACATGGGAACCTACTTGCTCAATTTTGGTTATCCAAAGAGATTTTAATTTTCCTGTTCTTTAAGAGTTTTTTTTTTTCATGGAACTATCAGAACATTCATTTCCATAGCTATGTAATATGATTATTGTTTTAGACAATGGCCTACTTTTGAGACATTTCATTTCATTATTAACACTCAGTTCTCCCTACCTCAATTAACCTCTAATGGCTTGTAATTAAAATTATATGAATATATTAATCCTCCCCAAGGTGATCTTGGTAGGTATTGTTTGTTCGGCTAAGTAAACCTATTGGGCTAAAGTTTGTGAGAGAACCTTTTATTCTGTAAGTTCATTGCCATCATGAACAAAAGACTAGAATGCAAAATAATAGAAATAGAAGGTGAACTGAGACAAGATTTTTCTCATTTTATGAAAGAAGAGTAAGGGGAGGAATTTAGCTGAAGCATCTTGTACTGAAATACAGACTTTATTGCACTGGAATTATGATTAAATTTATATTCATTCTTTCATAGTTCTTCTTTGCATTTTTTCCAAGGTAGTAGAAATATGACATTCTACATCACCTGGATAATGGCATCCATTGTCATTATTCAAGAATAAAGGATAAAGAAGGCCGGCGCCGCAGCTCACTAGGCTAATCCTCCGCCTGTGGCGCCGGCACCCCGGGTTCTAGTCTCGGTTGGGATGCCGGATTCTGTCCCGGTTGCTCCTCTTCCAGTCCAGCTCTCTGCTGTGGCTCGGGAAGGCAGTGGAGGATGGCCCAAGTGCTTGGGCCCTGCACCCATGTGGGAGACCAGGAGGAAGCACCTGGCTCCTGGCTTCGAATCGGCCGTAGTGCGCTGGCTATAGCGGCCATTTGAACCAACAGAAAAAGAAGACCTTTCTCTCTGTCTCTCTCTTACTGTGTAACTCTGCCTGTAAAAAATAAATAAATAAATAAAAATAAAGAATAAAGCTGGAAGATTAAATATTCTAAGAAAAAAAGTTGTTCACTTAAAGTTTAGTATGCTTAACCAAATTTAAAAAAGGAAAATACACAGTTTATTTATTTTATTCTCAGGAGCACATTCTAAAATTTTTCAATATTGGCCAAGTTTACAGCTTACTTAATTTCCTTTGCCTAATTTTAAGAGTTCTAATAGTCTATATTCCAAAATGAATAAGTCTGGGAAAGAATATATCTTGAAATATTGAAAATATAATTTGTGATAGCTACTTTAAACTTTAGGGAGTGACAGAGTCAATTTCATTTTTTGAGTTATAAGTTGTATCAATATTGAATTCTTTGTAAACAAATCTTCTTTGAGATCAAAAATAGCAGTTTTTATTATCCTGTGTGGTATTGTTTGTCTTTGTCTGTTTTCTGGTTGAATTCAACTGACATCTGTGCATTTTTTCATAAAAGGATATGAAAAATCCCGAAGCCTAAACAACATAGCGGGCTTGGCAGGCAATGCTCTGAGGCTCTCTCCAGTAACATCACCTTACAACTCTCCTTGTCCTCTGAGGCGCTCTCGATCTCCCATCCCATCTATTTTGTAAACCAAACTGCACCATTTGGCTAAATTGCATTAATTCAAGTACTGTTTATCCCATAATGGAAATAATTAAAAGTAGACTTACTCCAGGCTCCATTAAAATAGTATAAGTCCTGCATGATGCAACTATTTGAAATCAGAAATGCCACTTGGGTAGCTAATGGATCTTATCCTGGCTTTAAAGATTATCTAAAATAGTGCTACTACTTCTTCATATTTATTGCCCTGATCTCCTTTTGCAATAAGATGACAGATAGTGTCATATATTGGCCAGTATCTTAATAAATAAACATATCTTCAGGGAGATGTAATTAAACCAGTGTGCTTCCAAATGCCAACCACTTCATTGGAACTTCATTTCTTGTGACTCTAAACCATTCTGAAGATGTCTGGGATCCTATCTTGATTGTACACGACATGACTGTGGTCTGCTCATTTGCATAGGCCATCTTGTCTCTATCACCTGAAAGCAGTGTTGCGGAGTCCGGGGACCACGGATGGCTCGGGATATGTGTACTTGCATCAAACCATCCTGCTGAGATGAGAGTGCTGGTCGACTGTTCTGCATGTTGAATGGTGGGCAGGGAGGGCAAGTTTCTCCCTGACCTTTTTTTCCTTATTCTTTGAAAGAAATATTTGTTTCAAATAGTTTAATTTCTATGTTGATTTCTTTTTCTTCAAACATGCTGTATTGGAGTTCTGCATGTCTCTGGTTGTTTGCACACAGATAACTACAAAGAGGTTGTCATTACTGGTTACATGCAAGCTGAGGCCAGATCTCTTACTTAGTGACTTGGGGAAGGCACAAAACGTGAGCGAAAGGTAACTACCAGTCAGGCCTGCATTGTTTAGCCAGGAATCATTGCCTGGTACTGGAGTCATCTTGTTTTAAACCCAAGGATTGGTCATCATTTTCAGAAGCAGAGTGCCAAATATCACCCAAAACTCCCGTGTCTTTTTGTATCCTCTTCCTTTATTTTTATTTATTAATTTTTGTGCAAACATAGAAGATCATTGGTGTTCAATGGAAGATATTTTGACTAGCCTTAAATTTCTGAATCAAGGGATTAATCAGATTTTTAGGCAATGTTTAATGAGGTGCTTTGTTCTGTGTGTTGTTTCTGTCTATCTGTCTTAGCTCCCTGTCTTAACTGTAAATGCCATCTGTCTCCATGAAGCACAGAAATGCCTTGATAAAGTGTTTTTGATGTTAATACTGGGTTGCCTCAGCCTGCCCCCACCCCTTGCCTTCTTTCCTAAATGGAGCAGCCTCTCTGATTTATGTATAATAAAGATGCCCTATAGACTACCTATGTTAATTGGCACTGTGAATCTTTTTGATAAGCACGATTTAAGCAGCAATTTCACCACTGCACTTGGTTGCTTGCTGCAGAATCAGTTGTGACTACCTAGCAACCAGCATTCATCACTACACTTCAACAAAATCCCTAGGGAGTCTTACTCAGTCTGAGTGGGGGAAACTCTGTTTGTACATCTCTATGAATGCAGTAGCAACAGTGCATCTGGTGAATTGCACGTATGAGGGAAGAAAAATGCCATTATACAAACTGGGGGATAAACACTATTTCTAAGTCATTCGGGATCCTAGAGATTATTGGCTAATTCCTAATCCTGATGTTTAAATTTTATTAGGAAGATAATTGTCACTTTTATAATTGGCCATGAAACATGTATTATTCTATAGCTCCAAGTTCTAGCGCATGATCTGCATGTCAGAGATCTTGTACAGCAATGTATTTATCCAGACATATGTATCTGATATTTAGAGATACAGTGGTTTTTTTGATAATGCCACACATAGAACGTTATAATTATACACAAGTTTGTGGTTAAGGAATTAATATGCTGTCTGGTGCTGCTGTTATTGACTGCAGTGTTGTACAGAATTTGTCATGGATTTTTGACTGCTGAAAAAGGGACAGTGGAATTTAGCCATACCAAGGACTATACTGGAAAGAGACTTCTGCTCTGCTGCTGAATGCCCCCCTGATGGGACCAGGTTGTACTTGGACGAGGTCCCTGCATCTTCACAAGGCACCTTAAGCTCATAAAAGAACTGTGGCTGGAACTCATTTGGTGCTCCCCATATGAGTGGCCTGCCTGTGGACTGGCCAGTGTCTATGAAACAACTGTAAATACCAACAGGTGTGCATGGGTCAACAGCTTTGACCATCTCACATCAAGGGAAGCCAAATCCATGATCAACATCTCTGATGCTTCAAGTAGGCCCACATGTCTTTGGATTACTCTTTGTGGGCCTGCAGTAGGTTGCGCAGTGAATTACAAGGCATTGATATTATGTAGCATAGATCTGTCTTAATTTCTCTGATTTCTCTTTGTTGATTGGATCCGTGAACATTGGCTATATTGTTTTGTTATAAACCACTTATTATAAACTTGTCAATTATGTTATGAAGTTTTTTGTGTCTACTTATCAACACTGACCTATTTTGAATTGCATATTTGATTAGTTCTGGAAAATTGTTACAGCTTGTAGAAAATCACCAACATTATTTATTATTTAAGACTTTTGTCATTGTTACCTCGATTATAAATATTATAAAAATAAGATTCTGGCAATGAGAGTATATTTTTATTAAATGACCAAGGAACAATGTCATTCTGTAGTAGAATATTAATCAAATTATATCCTAAAGTGTATATTTTGCATAAGAGAGATATTCTTCAATCAATTTTTGCGAGTTTTGTGGCAAATGAAGCTTGTATTTGTCTTTAAAACTGTTGTAGTTGAAACTGTATAAAACTTTTTCACCTCGCTTAATCAATTATTTCCAGAATCTATTAGTTCCCCTGGGATTCTGAATATAACAAATGTCCTAATTATAAACCCCTGTGTCGTGAACCTTTTGTAAACATTTCAAGGTGCATGCACAACCTTGGTGGTGACCGATGGAAATGTAACTAACTGAAATGAAGAATAAAAGGCAAATGAACTGGGGATAAACTTGAATCCTATCTGATTAAATTATTCATATTCTTTTCTTGACTTTTTTCTTTGTTGTGGTTTTCAACACAGGCTTTACTGTTTTTATGTTTCAGAGAACCTTACCAAACACTCACACATAATAAAGAATTTGGAATGAGAAGATCTTAAAACATACACAGCTCTCACTTTCATTCAAGTCTCTGGCATATAGCTAGTGTTTTCCTCTTACTTTGCTTCTTTTTGATTTATCTGCCTAAATTTTTTTTCACAGCTCTAAGATGGCAAAATTACTAATTATTATGATAGTCAGCATTTATAAGGTATTTTATGATACTGAATTTTCACTTACATTTTCCAATTTAACCATCACAACAGTGATGAAGACAAGTCATTTTGTCTTCATTTTATTGGTAGTAAAGTTAAGGATGATACAGACAGAACTGTTTCCTTACATTTTTGTCACAATTTTCCCTGCCATAGTTTCTTATGTTTTAAATATTTACTGGGCCTCTTGTTGTAAATGCCCTATCATTAAATTTTCTGTCTCACTTTTGGGTAAAAGACCTGTTTTGGCAACACACCACACAAAGATGGGATTCCATCTACATTTTGAGGATGGAGGTACATTTAACCTGTAAATGTCTATGACACCATCCAGGAGTAGGGGGCAGTGAAGGTGAAAACAGAAAAGGCCGGAAAATCCAACACTTTCCCATAATGCATTAGCAAAACCTTCACTATGTCTAAAACTGTTCAGGGATTTTTATTAAGAAACTATTCAGAATCTGAGATCAGAACAGGGAATCTGTCTAAATACTGATAAAATTTTTTAGTCAATAATGTCAGAATGTTAGTTTTATAGTAGAAAGAAGGATAATGTAGGAAGGAGAAAGAATCCATTTTGCTTAGATGATAATTAGCCCCAAGGTCAGTTTTTTAAAAAAAATAGTAATTAAATAGTTGTGAATGAAAAGTGAAAGCATTCATTTAATCTTTGCAATAAATCATAAGACAGACTCATGGAGCAGCAATAATGAACCTTGAAAGACACTGAATGTGTCAACAGTATTATCAGGCTGTATTACAAAGCAGGGACTCTGGAGAATTTACAATGTGCTTGAAGACAGTTAGCGCTAAATGAGTACTAAAATATTAAAATGCCTACAAGTTTAAGATGATTAAAATATGTTGTCTAAATTTTTTCTTAACCCAAAATTTTCTTCCTATCTTTCTTTTTTCCACTGCTGAAACTTAATTAATTGGTGAAATACTTAAATATTATTAAACCATAGATATCTGAGTGTAGTAATTTTCTCCAACATTTTTAAATTAGACTATTTTTAAAAGCACACTTAACTTCATAGTAAAATTGAGTAGGAATTACAGTCAGTTCCCACATACCATTGTCCCCATACGTGTACCACTTACCACATACTACAGAGGGTGGTGCATCTGTTACAGTCAGTGATCCTATTAACCTACACTCACCCATTATTATCAACCAAAGGCCATAGTTTGAATTAGGGTTCACTGTAAGTAGTGTACATTCTATGAGTTTTAAGAAATGTATAATGATCTGTGACCACAATTTTAGCATGATACAGAATAATTTCTGTTTCTGCATTCAGATAATTTATATGCACCTTCTCTTTTAAAACGTTTTTGACATATCTATTTTATGTTTTTCAAAGGCAGAGAGACAGAGATCTTCCATTTGCTTTTTCACACCCCAAATGCCCACAATAGCCAGAGTGGAATCAAACCCAAACCAGGAACCAAGAACTCAGCCCCCATCTGCAGTCCGGGGGCAAGAGGAGATTGAAATCCCAGCTCAAACAAGAAAGCAGAGAGATTGAATTCTCCTTTCCTCAACTCGTGTTGTGTTCAGGCAC